GTGTGAAAATCCATTTAAAAATGTAAACACGAAACCACTAAAAATTCACAACTGTTCCACACGCTGCAGGCTCTGCAGCATAAAGTTTTAAAAATGTTATACAGCAAAGCCCACAGCAAAGCCATCTCCATGGGAGCAGGGCCACCAAGGGCTGCAGCCCCTAATGGCTTACCAGTTAATCCCTATTGTACACATATCATAATATTCAAATTAGAATGTGAAATATGTGAATACGGTCTTTAAAATGAGTTTTTAATGACAACACTTTTCAGATTGGTGGTTTTCCACTTTTTATTCTTGTTATCACAAATACAAATGCAAAATATAGACAGACATGCATGCACATATTCCCAGAAAATTTACCCTTCTCCGTCTTTATAAAATGGTGTCCAAATGCTGAAGGGAACACCAGCTTCATGAATCTCAGAAAGCAAGCAGCAATGCCACAGTCTCCTTCAAACTTACTTTGAGTCACAACAAGGACAGTCAGTAATTTGCACAGTGTGCAGCAATTTTATTTTTCTTCCTCTCCAATGCGGAGCTTGCAATCTGAACCCAAGAAAACTAGCAAAGTCCCAGGAACTCAATCCTTACAGTAGACCCTTCCGGTACTTGCATTACTCTACTCTAAAACTTCAGAGAAGTAGCCAAGTTAGTCTGTAACTAGCAAAACTCGAACAACAAATAGCAGCACCCTAAAGACTAACAAAACACGTAGATGGTATCATAAGCTTTTGTGGGTACAATCCACTTCTTCAGATGACAAGACGAAGTGGGTTGTACCCACGAAAGTTCACAATACCATATATATGTTTTGTTAGTCTTTAAGGTGCGGCTAGACTATTCCTGGTCTTAAATTTGTTGGGGAAAAGGGAGCTACAACTTTACAGCAACCCCTGGGATGTGACAACAGTTCTCCTGCTCCAACTAGTCGTCATTTATCCACAGTTGAATAGCCACAACAGGAGAGACCGAGGGAGCCCCATATCAGAATATCTGAGTGATTAGTGCATACTCCTGAGAAGTGAAGTAGGAGACCCCCCATTTAAATCCTTTTTTCTCCAGCAAGCAGAGTAGGAAATCAAACCAGAGTCTTCCACATCTGAGGTAAGTTGGCTAAAAGTAATAAAATGGGTGTCACCTAGAGATATAAAAGGTTAACTGGTTACCTGAGCATTAAGTTTATCAGCATGGTTAACTGGAATGGCCAGGGCTGGACCTCAGCTGCAGCGACCCCTGCTTGTATCCATCACAGCTTGCAGGCAGGATCCCTACCTCACAGAGAAAGCAGGACTACAGCCCTGGTAGGACCACAGCTCATCTGCACCAGCCCTCCAATGGATAAACAATATAATTTTAATCATTTAACTGGTTAACTTTTAATGGTTTTTTACCAGCTCAATAAAATCCTTAATGTCACCACTGCCTCTGGCAGCAGCCAGATTTTGAATGGGACTCATTCCAGTAGGTGGGCTCTGAGTATGGCTATGGATCAGGTCTCACACTCGAGTCAGAAAGACTGTTGTCCCCCGATTTGTGAATTGCTCTGAGACTTATGCAGGAGAAAAGCAGTGCACATGCCCGTAGGCAGAACCTTAAGTGCTGAAGGAACATTTATGCTTAAAACCTTGGTTAGACTATGAATCTGTCCCACTTCTTTTATTGTTAGGAACAGCATCTGAATGGGTTCTCCCCTGGCAGCTATCTGCAGGAGTGGAAGAGAAGCTTCAGAAGTAAACTAGTCACATAAACACAACTACCCTGCCAAGATCCCTCGCATTTAGAGCTATGTTGCTCAACATGATCAACTTTTGCCTGTGTAATGGATAGGAGTGCTGACCAGCACCCGGTGATTAAAGAGTTAAACTTAGGTGGCTGGCAAGGGACCAGGAGAACCAATTGAGACAGAGTGCTGAAATCTGATTTGGATATAGATATCTTACCTGCTTTTTTTGTGTGGGAGACTTAAATCAGAAGTTGAGAGAGATTGCACAGAATGATTTAACCCCAGACAGGACTACCATACCTCCAAGGAATTCAGGGCATGGAAGAGGACTGAACCAAAAGAAGATCATGAGTAAGTAAAGGGAAAAAGCAAATCTAGTCACTATCAGGGTATTTTCTTTATTTTGTGGTTTGGTTTGAACTGTTCTATGTGAATCTAAGCGTCCCCTCCCATTTACCATCTAAAAATTGTTCCCAGAGATTTTCTCTGTTTTAATTTGTTTTCCTTAGTTGCTCTGTAACATCTAGAAACCAAGTATGCTTTAGCAAGTATATATTTTGTTTTGTAATAAAAGTTACTTTAAGGTGATGATTTGATTCTTGTGTCCTGGAAAGTACAGGAGGTCTGTGTCTGCATGACTCAAACTAAGAGGTCATCTACCAGAGACTGCAGCTTGTTTTTCTCTCTTTTGTCAAGCTCTTTTGGGGCAGAAGAGCTTGGGGGATCCATGAGGGAGAATTCAAGTGTTCATCCCTAACTTTAGGGATAAAAATCACTTGATGGTGGCAAGTTAGTGAATCTGTGACTCTGGGGGAGTTTTTATAACCAGAGCCTGTAGAGGAAAGGTATGTTAAAAGTTTTTGCGGGCCCCAACCTTCTGTCCTCAAAGCGCCAGAGTGGGGAACAGCCCTGACAAGCTGGTGTTGGGTTACAAATCATGTTAGTACTAAATGCAGGGATAGTGAATGACAATGTTATCTTCATGATGTGAATAAAGGGGAACAGAACTGTGCATAACTGTCCCAAATGAGCTCACCCTCAACTGAAAGGTCCTTAAATGGTCTCACATTCCAGACTCCTGTGAAAATAACAGGTGTCCCAGACTGTTTAACCTTGTCTGGTTTAACCTGCTCCTCCCCACTGTTCAAAGATAGAGCTAAATAGGTTTCATTAGGAGCCTTTTGTTACTGTGAAGTGTTTGAATGAAAACTGAAGTCAGTCGTGGTTGGACAGCAGACTGACCTATACAAGAGGCAGGAAGAAGCAGAAGATGATCAAGATTGGCCAGCAGAGTGGGACAAGCGGATAGCGGTGTGCTGGCTAGCACAGAGGGACAAGTGATTGGTGGTGTGGCCATCCAGCACAAGTGCGCAGATGGCATAGCAAACAACGTGCCTTCTTCCCTAGATGGGAGGTGAATTCACATCTCTGAACCCTGGGTCTACACTGACCAACAACCACCACTGAGAGTGGGACATGGTAAAAAAGCACAGTGGAGCACAAAAAAAGGAACTTTTGATTGTAGCACTCAAGAACAGGAGACAGAAGGCTCACCACACAATATGCGGGGCAGTGTGTCCTGCTATCAGCTTTATGAGTATGAATCTTGCTTGTGGCATTTTGACTAATTAATATCAGGTGACGTCCTTCCTTTCATTAAAAAAATTCTTTTCTACAGCTATCAAATGGGTAGCCTTATTAGTCTGAATCTGCAAAAGCGACGAAAAGTCCTGTGGCACCTTACAGACTAACAGATTTATTGGCATATAAATTTATTGGCTGCACCTGACAAAGTGGGTCTTTGCCCACCAAAGCTTATGCACCAATAAATCTGTTAGTCTGTAAGGTGCCATAGGATTTTTCGTCACTTTTTCTACAGCTAGACTCTGTGCTTGCAAGTGGGGAAATACTGCTTCTCATGTCTTCTGTGGTTCTTTTTTGTGCAAGAGGTTTTTGTGCAAAGAGAAGTAGTGTAGTCACTCCCGTTTTGCGCAAGATCCTTATACCTGTCCTAGAGTTTCCTCCATATGGGGTTTCCTTCACAAACAAATCTAAGCAACTAAATGCAGAAATTTATGCTACAGATTTAACTTTATAGTAGTTTAAATTCTCTAAATAATAAACTGGGATTGGAGCCTTTAATTAGGATTCATGTGTCACGTTAGATAAATTTATACAAAAAGTCTCAGAAGAGGCTAATGCCTTGCACCAAGACTATTCTATGGCCCATAAAAGCCACTACTGTACTATGCAGATCAATGTAATTTCGAAATCAGTCCTACATTTTGGAGACAAAGCACTGTTCAATTTCCAAATGGTTTTGTATGCATTCCAGGATTTTCCTGGAAGATCCATCAAACTGGTTTTGACATCAAGAGACAATTAATAAAATATATCTGTTCTCAGGAAGGCAGTTCATTAGTTCACAAGCACAAGTGAGGTAAACCTAGCCTCTGGATATGTTGGAGCAACCCAACAGAGAAACCACCCCCAATTATGTCTCCAATGGTGATCTCAACAGACAATGTGTCTGAAAAAGAGCTTAATGCATCTCAAAAGCTGGTCTCTCACTAATAGAAGTTGGTCCAACAGTAGAAATCCAGAGTTATGAATTGACTGGTCAATCACACATCTCATTTTGAAGCAGAAATATGCAGTCAGGCAGCAGCAAATACAAAAAGAAAAAGCAAACACAGCACAGTGCTGTGTTCAACATAAACTACTTACAGGGAAGTTTAAAAAACCTTGACAAGGTTAGAAAACCATTTCTGTGCCCGTTTCATTTACATTAAAACGCTTTAAAGCAGCATTTTTCTTCTGCAAGGTAAAGTTTCCACATTATACTAAGTCCGTGTTCATTCTGTAAACTTCTGAAAGAACCACAGCGACTTGCTCAGAGTTAGGAACAAGTCAGAGTCACGATGAACCACTTCCGTTCCCCTGCTGCTCCGAAGTGAGGTTGTGCTGTACAGTATCGCTGGACTGTTCCCTCCCGCATCCCGCCTGGCCTTTGGAGCCGGTTCACACCATTCTTCACTGCTTCAACAGACCAACCCGCGGAGCTCCGGTGCGCTCTGAGCCTGCCTCTCTGGGGGGTTCATTGTGTGTGTCTCTGAGCACCCCCACCTGCCCTCATCAGCCTGCACACCTACACCACCACGCCGCGCCCTTCACGTGCGCCACTTCTCACCCGCTGCCCCAGAGCGCCAACCTGCCCCGGAGCCGCCGCCCGTGGCCCCCCCAGGTGAGAGGCAGCTGCGCCTAAGCCCCTTACCATGGCGTCGTAGCCCAGGAGGGTCATGAAGCGAACCACTTCCCGCCCCTTGAAGTAGCTGAACCACACGGTGCCCTGGTACTGGTCGCCGGCGTCCAGGAGCAGCACGTTGGGGTGGGTGGCTCGGATCTCCTCGACCTTGGTGTATCTCCGCGCCACGCCGCCGTAGCAATCCAGGGGGCTGCCGCCACGGCACTTGCCTGAGCCGCGCCTGGGCCGCGTGC